CCCAGGCGTGCGCGTCTGTGGGCCGGCGGGCAGATAAACAAGCACGAGAGCACTCGCGTCGTGCTAGTGCTTACACATCACAACATCCGAATCCGCCATCACTGAAAACAAAGAGGCGGGGCAGACACAGGCACCGGCAGCTGAGGCCCTATGCGCGAACTTTCCAAACCAGCTACTGTGCATAGCTCTACATCTTAGAAGGCGTTATTTACTCACGGGGGGGAGTATCGACAGACCAAGATGTCGTACGTCAACCCCTCCTTTTCGCAGGCTCTCAACGCGCACCCTATCTGGGTGGTGGATTTCCACAGCACCTGGGTGGCGTACGGGCCGTAGGTGGACGTGGACCCGCCTCCGACCTGGCTGTCGTCTGAAGCGTTGGAGTCGACCGAATGCACGGGGCAACGGTGTCAGGAGGGGGGCGGCGGTGTAATCTCCTTTCTTTCGTTCGCTGCCGGCTTGCTTGATTGATTGACTGCCAGCGCAACCTCATTCGAAACGGACAGAGCGCCCAACATGAACCGCGTTCGTGCCCCCCACGTAGAGAGGGACGCCGCCAACTACCGGATGGCTGCAGTCGAAGACGCTTCCGCCGTGCGTTACACTGCCGCAGGGACGTGCTGCGTGCCCAGTCACCTTTTCCGCCCCCGCGGGCGCTGTGGCCGCTGCCTATCATCTACAACCAGTAGCCATTTACTTGTAGCTCTCGTTTCTTCTCCCGTAGTGTCCACTTAACCGTGGTACATCAGTAGCGGTGGAAAGAAACAATAGTGCTACAGGGGCAGCACTCGACACGATCACATCAAAAACCGAAAAGGTCAACACCCACTACGACACCGACAACGACAACGACAACGACAACGACAACGCGTGGGGCGATTCTAAGTGCATCGACGAGAAGACCCAGAACGAAACCACGCGTCCGCTCGATGTTCGTTCTCTCTCTCTCCCTCCCTGTCAATAGCAAGGTTGTCAGGACTCACAGAACGCCTCCATGGCAATCTCGGGCGAGAAGCACGCAGAGGTAGGGGCACCATTTCCCGAAAAAGACGACGAGGCGGCGCACACGAATACGTTCTCCCCGAGGCCGGTGGAGTGTGCGGCTTCCGCCGACCCGCACATGGACTCGCTCGCAAGGACGTCGGCGTACGTCTGCGCCCTCGGCAAGACAGGGAGCAGGCAGGCGGGGGGGGTGTACTCATAGTCGTGCATGCCGTAGTCGTTAGACCATTGACCTCGCATCCCTACAAAGCCGGGACGGAGCACGCCGGGTTCTCACCGGACCAGGCTCTCACATCACC